TTCAACACAGTGAAATAAAAGAAGGATAAAAGACTCCAGAGCTGCAGAAGAATGAGGCCGCAGTGAAAGAAATGGAGAAGTAAAGCATTATGTATAATAAAGCAAAGCTAGCGGAATTCATTTGACCCTGAGCTTCTCCTGATAGTGAAGTTAGGAAACAACAGCATTAGAAATAACACAATCTCAGTATTCATATTTCATAAGGTGGTTACATTTAATACAGCTCATGAAGGGATTTATTCTGGAACCGAAATTCTTCAAACTGCCGCAAAGTTGTAGAAACTTAAGTCACCGCCTCTTCACACGGGAGAAGGCGATAAATCTAAGAGCAACAACTTTTGTAAAGAAACCAAAAGGAATATGAATTACAGACTAAAAGTGCAAGTGAGGACAGAGAAGAGAGGGTTTGAATAGTTAGTAAGTGAGAGAGAGGCAACAAAATAATGAGGAAAGAGGAACGCTTCTGAAATAAGCGGCGCAACGGAGAATCGCAAAGAGAGAAGCTCAGAGGGATGAACACAGGCATGGAAAGAACAGAGAGAGAGAGCAAAGAGACACAGTAGGTCGAGCATGATTTGTAGCACACGCCCAGGCCTGCTGGAGCCGATAATGGTCGTCACTACTATCGTTTTTTGCTCCATCTCTAATCTCAGCCTCAACCCCCTGCTACTGCACATGAATTTTAATTTCTGCATTTAGAGATTTTGCCCTCTCTGGCACAGTTGTTAAGCGGCGTGGTCTAAGTATCACAAAATAACTGCGGGCTATGGCAATTGTATCAACTCTGTGGATGCTAAAAACCTCCATAATGGATTGTTAGAGCTCATACCAGTCCATACCAGAGCTCATGTTTACCTCCAGAATACAAGATAAACAGTAGAAGCACGAGGAGGAAAAGCACAACACCGTCATTAGTTGCTTTCACTTATTTCTGCTGGCTGTTGTGTTCATCTATTCATGTGATAGCTGATCCCATGATCCATCACGCACACTTGGAAGTGGTAGCCATACTGTAGGGCAAACATAATGTTCAGACAAAGAGAAACAGGACAAAATAGGTTTGGAGAGAGAAAGAACAAACATGGAGGAACCCCATCTCTCTGCATCAGGAGCCCAACAGGGAGCAATTAGTCATGCTTCTTTAAACCCCCCCCCCCAATCTACTCTGCTCCGACTCTCGGAGTCATTACTCTGCTGTGAAGTTGTAGCATTGTGGCTCCAACACCAGCTCCTCTCTGTGCTCTATTAATCAGCCTGGGAGCTGATCTATGGACTGTACTCTTCTTCTTCCCACAGAGGTCCCAGTGTACAAGTAGGTGAAGACATTGTGGAAGCTAAGGTTTAGCCACAGAATGAGCCCGATCATCTGCTGCATTCGTTTTCACAGCCCGGTACAGTGACAGGCAGGTGGACCAGTCACGCAAAAGTCGATCACTTTTCATGGGCATTTATTTAGTTTTTCATCTGATCGCATTATGTCATTTTCAGGAGATATGTCTTTGCAACCTGCATATTTCATCTGGATCTTTCAAAGGTTGAACACAAAGCAGAAGTAGGCTCACTCAGATCTAGAAGTAATCAGATTACAAAAGGGAATTCAGTACTGGATTTATTGGGGATAAAATGGCAAAATGCCACTCTTAATTTCAAAAGCTTTAAATGAATTCTTATACAATAATACTGTAATAAAACTACTGTTCTTTGTAAGGTCCTAAATTCATCCAACTTTTCAAAATGGACCAATCTACCTCACAGCTACACACCTTTAAAGTCTGCTAACGACATCATATAAGATATTGTATTATCTGTTTTTATATGATCTGCTCTGCAGTTGTTTTTTAGACTGTGGTGTAAACAAACTGGATAGAGATTTCATTTTATTGAGGCAAAAACAAAACATCATGACTTCATATTTTATTATTAAAACATGCATCGCATTGCTGTTTAGTGCAAGTATGCCAGCCACACCTAGAGGAGCTCCTCAGTCATGGACCTCTATGCCACGAAGCTGCTGGTGCATAGTTCTCTTTGCTCTGTAGCTTACCATGGTCTGCTGCTCTGTGCCTGAGCTAAAAGCGCTTCCACTTTACGATAATACCACTCAGAGTTGATTGTTGAATATCTAGAGGGGAAGACATTTCACAAAGTGACTTGTTACAATGGTGGCATCCTATTACAGCACCGTGCTCCAATTCAGCGAGCTCTTTAGAACGATATAATCTTTCACAAATGCTGGTAGAAGCAGACTGCCTGGCTAGCGGGTGTATTCGGAGGTTAAGAGGTGCGACTCAGTACTTTTGTCCAAGCACAATCTAGCTTTGAAATTGCTCAAGAGACTCTGTAAAAGTTTGCTCATTACCTTTTAGAATTGCTTCTTGAAGCCTGGAGCTGGAGTTCGTGATGTGTTCCTGCTTAGCAATCGTAGAGGTGGAAACAGCCAACTTCAGTGTCTTTTAATGCTACTTGCAAAATGGCACCCACCTGTTATTTAACTCACCAAAGCCCCTGATATGCATTATACAAGTTCACAACAGAAGCTCAGCTGCTGCACCAAAAGATTCAAATCTCTTAAAACACACACATTGATCTTTTAGTTCTAACTCCAGCACTGCTTCCTCGTTTCATTAATACAGCCTCTCGCATGTCGTTCCACTTTTCTTTCATATTTGATATTTCCTTCCTTGCCTTTTTTTTTTTACACTGCACCTGTTCAAAGCCATTACGCCGAGCGTACGTGTCTAACACGGAGTCAAATTCACTTTAGCATATACAGACCTGAGCGCCGCAGTAGTCACCGTGCAGCGCTTTTCCTGGGAAGCCATTTAAAATTCAGCATGCAGAACGCTGCCTCCTTCTTAAATGCAAATACAAGCAGATGCAATTAGCAGATACACAGCTGGACGCAGAATGGCGTAGGAATCTGCGTGAGAGAGCCATAAAGCGCAGCATGTTTCATGCATGACTGCAGAAACTCTTCAGGAAGCTGCAGTGAAAACTAAACTGCAGCAATGGCATACCTAGAATGAAAATGTCACAGCCAGGGAGCAAAATGTCCTTTTGGAGGGCAGTGTTCCCAGCATCGATCTCTACGCAGAAATGAAATAAGGTGGAGGAAAACAGCAGCTATCTGGTATCTGACTGTGTTCTTTTTTTCCTTCTTATCTTCTGTGTTATTAGTTAGCTCTTATTAGTTTGACATAAAGGAGATGTGGAGGGAATGACAAGTGTAATCCTTCAGTACCACAGAGTGCGCGCTGTCCGTGTGTGCTGGGAGTGTATGGATGGCCCTGAGACTGCCTGCAGGCTGCGTACACAGTCCCTCTCCTTTCCCATTTTCTTTGCCATCATTTTGATGATTACCTTTCTTTACTTTTCACTTCTGTCACAATCTGTATTTCTGACCATATTTCTGGCTGAGTCGCTGCTTCTCGGTGCTACAGCTGTCTGCCTGCACACCGCATCTCTTCTTTCCTGTAATTATCTGTCTGCATGAAGACTCCCTCTCTGTCTCTCTTGTGGGAGAATGACTGATAACTCTCTTATGGCTTCCCATTGGATTAATTAAAGGTGAGGCTGTATGATACCCATATAGGCTCTTGTTAGTCTTAATAAAAGACCATCGTACTGCTGTCTGCCACGCTCTGTTGGTTGTGGAAAATCTTTTTTTCTTTGTTGTGTTTCCTATGATATTTTTTCCTCACAGCTAATGAAATCTTAATGCAATATTATCTGAGGAATAAACTTGATTTATTAATGTTATGGTCTAAAAACTGTTTTCAAAGGTAAACTACAGCAGCTATATGTGGCATTCTTAATAGTGTGGTATTAATATTCCAGATAATATAAATCTACACATTAGCTTCATATGGCTATCTTATTACAGATCTGTAGTTAAAAAATTCTCATATCAATGTAGAAAAGAAGAGGGAGCAAGATAGAAGTGTTGATGTAAGACTGCAAAGGTGTGATGATTCAAAGAGAGACGTACCTGTGGACATGGATGTTCTCAAACATTCTAACTCATAATATCTGCTATAAATAAGATGATACTAAGATTTTTAAACTCTGATTTTACCATCATTACCCCACCTTATTAAACCAAATGCACACTCTGTGTCAGAGAGTTACAAAACTTAAGAAAACTTGATGAGTTTGCAAATAGGATTTTATTACTTAATGACATGAGGAGAAAACTGCAACGAGCTAGAGCACGTTAATTTTTTTCTCCCACCGCTGGGGGAAAAACATCATCCATAAAATTTGGATGTTATTATCTCAATATGTCAAGTTAATTATCTCAACGTTTTGACCTGGTACATTGAAATTTCAACTGGCAACAAGCTCCCATAGAAAGCGGAGAAAAATCCAGATATCTGAAACTAAACAGAGCAGGGATTTAGAGTCTACCTGAGTTGCAGCTTAAACTTGCACAGACATTTTTCGAACATCAACACTGGACAATATTAAAGATGAATTGCTCCCTCCACATGTAACGCATAAAAGCAGATGCGTTCTTACTAACGGAAATGCTAAATGTGCTTGGGTAAAGGATGCAGGAAGGCAGGGACTTGTCTGGCCAGCTTGCTGGGTATTTACAGGACAATTACCTGCACTGTCCTCAAATAGACATTACACAGACTTTGCACTTGGAAGCAACCACCTAATGTCAGATCTGAAAGATGTGGACATTTGTGTTCTTGCATGCAGCTCCATTGGGTAATGTCTAGAAGAAACCACATTGTATTTATGTTAGAATAATGAGTTGTGGTGCATTGCCAATGCGCTGTACACGAAAGCTGCTGATAGTGCAAACTTTTATCAGAAGCAGTGCTAAACGGGGTCAGGCTATAAGTACCAGAAGTGAAGCGTTTCACACTGAAAAGAAATTTGAGATGTGGCTCTTCTGTTGTTATTTTTCAAAGGAGGTATCTGTAGTGGAGCCTTGTTGGTTTGTGCTGTAACCTGTTTTCTTACCCTGTGTGTTATTTGGTGTTTTACAGGGCAGCAATGTGGTGGAGGACCAAGACCTGCTGGAAATTGGAATCCTCAACTCGGCCCACAGACAACGTCTCCTGCAGGCCATACGGCTCTTGCCCAGGGTCAGCGCTGCAAATAGTAACACTATCACACAAGAATACCACAGAGTCTACAAAGTGGATAATTTAGTCAGTCTGGACTGGGTTTATTGCAGCATCCATCTCAATGAAGTTATATAAATTCATGACCAATTGAAGGAGAGAATCTTGAGCCGGCCTGTACTCAGTCCTCTTTGTTTCATATAAAATTCAGCAAATCTTCTGCTACATCTGTTTCCGTGTGATATAACTCTCTGTGGGTGGCTGGGTATCTCTCTGCATGTTCTACTCAACACTTGAACAAGAAGCATGCAGAGAAAGGTGCACCGAGCCACATTATCACAGCTTTGAAAGCACATTAAATTAAATGATGCGAGAAACTGCTAAATCCATACCTTCTCGCATCTGCAAAATGCACTCAATAAAAACATATCGACACGCTTTGAGCCGACATTTGCTGCTGAAAAGAGACCGGAAGTCGATTTTTTTCTTTTAAAAAAAGGCTGCTGCTATATGTTAGCAAGGTCAAATACTTTTGTGTGAGTGTGCAAGAGTCAAAGTAAGATGAAAAGTGCCCAGCTGCACACAGTGCGAGCAGAAGAAAGGAGTCTGCAACAGCGAGCTAAGAGAAAGGGGAGAGTCTGAGCTCGGAGATAAGCATGCTTCATAGAGACTCCAAAGAAAACTTTGATCTCCAGTCAGCATTTTCCTCCTCTCATCCCCAATAAACTTTTCAAAACACTGTAAGAGATGGAACCTTTTAACTTTTGCCTGCCCTCTCACGAAAAGACGCACACACTTGTGCAGACACATGTAGGCGAACACATGCTTAACTTGAGGTGGAGGTTGCAGAACGCTTGCTTGAAGCAACATAAGCTCTCTGAAGTGCTTATGACTGTCAAAAGAAAAGTGAATGAATTATGTATTATCTGCTACACTCAAAGTGTCTCAGTGCAAGCAGTGAGTCTGCTTTTGGTGTTTTTTTTTTACGAACCTTCTCAACAGTTGTGCTCGTGTTTCCTTTTCCTGTACTCGTTTATCTTCCTCACCTGTTTCCTTTCGACTGAGGAAAGCCTTTAATATGGAATGCATCTTGAAAATAAAGCATGGCACAGGAATAAAATGGAAATTAGTAATAGGTATGTAGGCAGTAAACATTCGCACCAGATCTTGCTTCAGATAGCAGCTGTTTTTATGCAGTAAAGCTCCAGGTCTAAAATGTGGAAAATGAGAAGAAAGATAATCCGCTGTGCTCACAGCCTCCTGTTATGTACAAGAGCATGCAGCGAGAACAAACAGAACTACAGAAAAGTAATAAAAAGTGCGCTCCAAAGACAAACTTCTTCCTTAATCCCTTTTTTCCTGCTCTGTGTACTTAAGGTGAGACCTATCGGATACGATGGCAACAACCCCACATCAGTGGCAGAGTGGCTGGAGTCTTTGGAGCTCGGGGACTACACCAAGTCTTTCCTTGTCAATGGTTACACTTCCATGGAGCTGGTCAAAAAGATCTGGGAAATTGAGCTCATCAATGTAAGTCTACAGTGCTAAAAATAGCCATATTAAAAGATAAAATCTAATGAAAGCACAAAGGATTACATGGGAAGCCAAAACCTAATTTAGCCACTGGGTGATATGTTACTTTTTCCCAAGAGAATGAGCTTTGAGTCAATTCCACATTACATTTCTGTGGCCATAAATACTCACTAGAGCACAGAAAAACAACAAAAATCAATTTGCAGCTGAAAATAGTGCCCAGTGAGTTCACCATTTAATCCAGGAACATTTGCTAAAAACAGCAGCGCTCAGCTGTTTCAGGGAATCTCTGAGTTTTTGTTTTTTAACCATAAATTTGCAAATGGTCAAGGTAGCAGAGTTCTGAATTCATTGCTTTTTCTTTCTTTTTTTCTTCGCTAAAGACATTTGTGGCAGAACCCATGAAAATATGTTCAAACAAGACCGGTATGAATACACTTGTGAGGTCAAACTCCCTCAACCAATTCCAGAAACTTGATTCTGTTCATCTGGACGTTTTCACAGTGAGAGTTTCATCACTACTCCAAGTGACTTCTTCAGTCTCAGCTCACTGCAGGTTTCACCTGCCTTATATACATTTACATAGTGGCCGAAAGTAGTACCACTGACTAACAAGAGGCTGTTTCATAGTCATTAATATGCAAATTGGGAAATTGCTGCAATTTCTGGGATTTCCTTACCTGGATGATTGAGCACACATCGAGACACCCCCGTCAATAGTCAGATATCTAGTCAGATAGCATAGCATTGGTTCAGGCAAAGCACCATCTAATTCTCAACCACCATCCCACAAGTTGATCTCATCCCATCCAATTTTCCAGCTGCTATTCAGGCTCCTTTAACCTGCCTAAAGTTGCTGCAAGCCACTTGGCAAACCCCCTCCCTCCCCCATTCCTAACATGCTGTGTCCGATATTGTCGCTTACATTCTTCCCACTTGTGGCTTGCTGTGCACGCTCTATGAAGGGTGCGGAGGTCCTAGAGCAGCGCCATAAAATTAATACAGCTTACTGCAGAAGGGAGCCACAAACTTCTTTTATCTATAGATTTGACTGAGCTGGTGCTTTGTGAACTGGATGCTTGCTGGTTCTTGTCCTCATCTTTCACCTTGGTGACAGAGTGAGTTTGTATCTCCTATTGAGTGTACATATTATAACCCCGGAAAGTCAAACTTCAGTAGCCATGCAGGCTTACTGTTAGCCCTTTGGCTTCTTACTCGAGAACAAGGCTGAAGTTGATTCAGAGGCCATACTGTAAAGAAGGCCCATCAGGCATTTCTTCTCATTGCTGTGCAATATGTGCTGAGAAAACAAACTGGAGGGAGGTGCATTTTTTTACTGTTAAATCATAACATTGCTTTGTCTTTTTCTTTCGTCATTTCAGTGTAGAGATTTCTGATCCGATATCTGCAGTGACAAAAAAAACAAACATGGAGCTTCTGAATGTTGAATTCTCTCTTTCTGTAAATATTAGTAAAGGGGAACGATAAGAAGGTTTGACATTTGGGTTTATGTGCTGTCACAGATAGTCCAGGTTTATGATTCAATTTTTACCAACATAAAATCTTCACTCGGAGATGCAGTTTAATGCAGGCCGATCTCTTTGGAGTGATGTGCTTCTTTGATGCTGGCAGTGTAACGAAATCATGCTCGATTGCAGGGGGCGCCTGCCTGGCTGATTTCAATGAGAGAGAGTGAGAAGGGGTGTTTTTCCTTCCCTGCGGAGGATAAAGTGATGAGTGATCAGCTGGAGGAGGTGGAGAGGGAGTTATATAAGCATGTGGGATGCAAGATGTTTTATAGCGCCGGGGATACCGCCCACATGCTGCACTTCTGTGTGTGTGTGTGTGTGTGTGTCTGGATGCATATGTGAGACAGTTAAACTGTTAATACATTCCTGTATGTTTATGTATTTGTATTCAATGTATGACATGCATGGATGTATATTAATTTTAGACCTGTTCATGTAAATTTGAATACTGTATAGCATCAAAAGATTTTCTGAATTAACTGAAACTGCAGTGCAGCACATTTTGCAGCCACTAGAGGGTGCCCACGTACACTGTATAGCCAAAAGTACTCCATGTCCCTATAAGACCTCAGATTGCATTTCACTGTTTGCACCGGGCTTCTTTGATTCAGGAAACTTGCTTTTATTTTGGACTGTACTATCCCCAACTTTGCTATCATAGTGCTTTGGTGACAATGCTTCACTTATTCAACATGACTGTGGATAAAGAGATTTCCCTAGTTTAGTATAAAAACTTACCCAATGCTTTATTTTGGGTTTTAGTTCATGTTCTATATAAGGGGAGTGAAGAAGGGTTGCAGGGACGGTCAAGTAGATGGGTATGATTGTCATCGGTGACTTATGACAGAAGGATAGCAGCAAGAGTGAAAGGGAAGGTTTGTAAGTGTAAAGCGTGAGACTTGCAATGATGTATGGTTTGAAGCTAGTGACACTGACAAAAAGACAGGAGGTGGAGCTGAAAGTAGTGTTGCTGAAGAGGGAGTTTTATTTGGAGTGACCAGGATGGACAGGGTTAAAAATGAATACAATAGTATTTTTTGTATGTTTGTCACACTTAAATGTTTCAGATCAAACAAATGTAAATATTAGACGAAGATAAGACCAGTAAACACAACATGCAGTTTCTAAATTAATGTTAGTGCAATTAAGTTTTTGTGATAACTGGCCGTGAGTCTTTTACAACGGTGAAGAGAAATTTTGGCCCACTCATCTTTGCAGAATTGTTGTAATTCAGCCACAATGAAGGGTTTTCGAGTATAAACCACCTTTTTAAGGTCATGCCACAGCATCTCAGTCGGATTTAGTCAGGACTTTGACTAGGCCACTTCAAAGTCATCTTTTTTTTTTTCTTAAGCTATTCAGAGGTGGACTTGCTGGTGTGTTTTGGATCTGTCCTGCTGCAGAACCCATTTGCGCTTCAGCTTAAGGTCACAAACTGATGGCCCGACATTTCGCGTTAGAGTGTTTGGGTAGACGGGTAGACGGTAGACGAATTCATGGTTCCATTTAAAACTGAGATGAACCTTTTAAGGTCCTTTTGCTCAGCAGTGGTTTTTGTCTTGCAACATTTTTGCCCAGTTTCTTTCTTATAGTGGAGTCATGAACACTGAGCTTAACTGAGGCAAGAGAGGCCTGCAGTTCTTCGGATGTTGTTCTGGGGTCTTTTGTGACCTCTTGGATGAGCTATTGTCGCACTCTTGGGGTAATTTTGGTTCGCTGGAGTTCCACAGCTGTATATGCTAATATAAAGCTCAGTTACTTTGTTTCTCATCTGTTCCTGAATTTCCTTGGATGAAGGCAGATGATCCGATGTGACCACCTGTAAAGAAAGGACCAAGTTGTTTATGTTTATAATCAGTTCCTTTTGTTGTTATTATATCTCATAGTAAATGTTTAGAATGAACTGATGTTTAACTCAACTCAGGAGCTTTAATAGAATGAATAGAGCTGGGTGATAGAGATGGTGTGCCTCCGTAGTGTAATGTACATGTTGGTGTCTGATTTTATAATTTGCATTTACTGGATGTAACATAGTTTGCATATATTTTAGGGGACAAAACAAAACAAGACAGTATCATCTAGGTAGTGTGCCAGGAGGTATTTTTTCCTTTATACATTTTGTTGTGAACTTAAACACAAGTGTGAGTCAGATATAGCCAAGGGGCTAATTTACATCAATTCACATCCACAGTCGCTGTGCAGTTTGATGTCGTATTATAATGAAAATAAGGGATTAAAAAAGCAGATGGAAAACCATTAGTGTAAGAGGGTGGCAATCAAAGAAACATGGTGGGGCAATCACTGCAGCTGGAGTGAGGGTTGTCAGTTCCTACTCTTCTTGGACCTTGGTCTAGGCCTACTCAGTAGTCTGTCCTTTATCAGAGTTCCCGTCATCCACATCCATATATTTTAAAGGTAACTGCAGGCTACTGGACAACTCAGCATATATGAAGTCTGGGGAAACTGCAAATTTAAATTTGAACGTGTTCAAAAAGAAGTATTTACTGTAGTTTCCTATGATTGTTGGGTTTTTCTCTGTATGATCTACTGTGCAATATAAAGTGCCTTGAGGCGACTGTTGTTGTGATTTGGCGCCGTATAAATAAAATGGAATTGAATAGTGGAAAACATCTGCTTTTAAGCACAAGGTATTTGAATCAAATGTTTCCCCTGTACTAAAATAGATATGAAGGAATAATCTTAGCAGTGTTTTAATGGAGTCATGGGTCCAATAACATGAAGTGTTACTCTTGCCTAGTCCGCAGTCTGCAGGGAGACTGTGAAGCTGGCCTTATCTCATGGATGTAGTGTTTCTTATCGATCTCTTGTGAGCACATCTGACTGGGAGAGAGTGTACGTGTATGTCTGCTGCACAGCACTGCAGCAGCGCACTGTCACTGAAGTAGTCTCTGGAGACTTGGAGAGGTCACTTCTGCACCTGAGAGAGGTGTGTGTTTGTCCGGAGATGGTGTAGAGAACGATGTATTGTGGTGGGAGAATAATATAAAGTGATGCTGGGAAGGAGATATGGGTTTAAGAGAATGACAGGGAGTAGGAAGTGAGAGAGAGAGAGAGAGAGAGAGATAAGAACGAATCTTTAAAAATCGAATCTGGACACTGCTTTCATGTAATCACCAGGTAATTGCCGTGGGCAACAGATGCAGTGGTGTCCATGGAGATGGGGGAGGAGTGTGAAGCGTTGCTGAAGTGTTTTAAAGTGGGATATAAGTGCGTGTGGGTGGGGGCATAGGCCTGTGTGTATGTGTGTGTGTGTGTGTGTGTGTGTGTATAGTTGGGCACATATGTGGATACCTGCTGTTGTGGGATTAGCAGAGTATTTCAAAACACCTTTTAAGCCTGCTGGTCCTCATTCGTGCACAATACAATGCAGACAGAGAGCAGGTGCAGCTTTCTCTCTGCAGTATTGTGTGTGTGTGTGTGTGTGTGTGTGTGTGTGTGTGTGTGTGT